CCCCCACCCCATCCTCATCTCCCTCTCAATGAATACTCCCTGCCTGACCCTGCCCTGGCTCCTTGGTGAGCTTCAGGTTGTGCTGTGAGGACCCCTCTTACTATAAAGTGTCCTCCCTGACATTCCCCCCACCCCCATGATGATCCCCCCCAATACTCTATCCTGGCCCTGCACTGCCCAGCCTCACTCCCCTATTTGCCCCATCTTACCCACCTTGCAGTCCTGACTCATGACGGGCCCATGTGGCAGAACAGAACCGCTCCATAGGATTTCTGAGACACTGAATTCTTTACAGGAGCACAGGTCTCATCCTTCTCCCACAGAGCAGCTCATGGGCGTGAACCACCGACCTTACAGTTAGCAGCTCAATGCTTAACCCACTGCTCCATCAGGGTCCCTGTCTGAAGTCTGCTTGGGGTGTCCCACCCGGAAGTGTTGGTTGTTGGTGGGTGGCCTCAGCAGTTTTTCTCCTGTAGAGTGGGTTCCCAGGACACAGGGTTGCTTGGGAACTTGTGAGGGTGCAGGGTCACTCTAGGGACTCCTGGTCTGGACACTTGCGTGTAAGGGTGGCCAGAGGCTCTCCCCTGTGGGGTGGAGTCTGGGTGTCTGTCCCCTGTCCCCCTGACCCGTGCGCTCCTGCTCAGTGCCTGGCCGCCGGCTCCATCATCATGAACCGAGAGCTGGAGAGCATGGCCATACGGCCGCTGGCCAAGGAACTGACCCGCAGCCTGGAGGACGTGCGGAGTGCCCTGCGGGACCAGGCCCTGCGAGACCTCAGCACATACACGGAGAAGATGCGGGAGACGCTACGCCACTTCGATGTCCTGTTTGCCGAGTTCGAGTTAAGGTGACTCTGAGGCCCCCATTCAGTCTGTATGCCATGAGTTGCGGGGTATGTAGGCTCTGGGGGCTCATTCTGAAGTTCTGAGCCTGAACATTCCCTAGGGGACAAGCTGAGGCTGGGTCAGGGCTCCAGGGAGGCATGTGATCTAGGACCCCGATGCCCCAAGGCTAAATGCGACCCACTCCAACTCCCACCTCTGACTCCCTGGAAAGTTCCTGCCAGCACAAGTCAGCCAGAGTGGATGACCAGTCAGCCTCCCACTGCCTCCGAGCCCTTCCCCTCCTGTCTCTACCTCTGACCTCCCACCTCTTGCCCACCCAGCACCTTCCTTGTGTGCTGGGATCTGGGGGCAGCAGCCCCGGGGAGGGGGACTCAGGAACGGCTCATAGAATGCTTCTAATATGCCAAAAATGCATGTCAAGTGGCCTTGAAAAAGTTCATGGGAACATTCACTATGTGTTAATTCCATTTTTCACATCACATAATCCATCCCTTATATGTATACACACCACACACACACACCATGTGTATACACACCACACACATACCCTGTACATAAACACACTACACCCCCCATGTGTATACACACTACACACACACCCCATACATATATACACCACACAATCACCCCATAAATATACACATAACACATATACGTGCCCCCACACATACACACCACACATACACACACACCCCATACATATACACACTACACACACCCCATACATGTACACACCCCGTACATATACACACAACACACACGCACCGTACATATACACACCACACACACACCCTGTAAATATACACACAACACACATACATGCCCCCACACATACACACCACCCCCCCATACATATACACACCACACACATACACGCCACACATACCCTGTACATATACACACCACACACACACCCCATACATATACATACCACACACATACCCCATACATATACACACCACACACACACACACCCCATACATATACACACCACACAATACACACCACACACACACCCCATACATATACACACCACACACATACATGCCCCCCACACACCCCGTACATATACACATCACACACATACACATCACACACACACCCTGTACATACACACACACACACACCCTGTACATATACAGACTACACATATACCCTGTACGTACACATACCACACACACACCCCGTACGTATACACACCACACACATATATGCCCCCTACACATACACACCACACACATACCCCATACATAGATACACCACACACACACCCTGTACATATACACAACACACACATACCCTGTACATATACACAGCACACACATACATGCCCCCCCACATATACACCACACACATGCATGCCCCCCACACATGCACACACTGCATACACCCTCTACACACACCATATACACATCCCACACAGTGGACCTACCACTTACATAAATAAACACACACGCACATGCATACACAGCTCACACAACCTTATACACAGACATACCCCCCCCACACGGCCTATATATACACACCACCAACATTCTACATACACACACCACATACACACACCCCACACACACTCCACGTACACACACCATATGCACCCCCACACAATACATACTCTTTATATATCCCTCCCACACAAACACAGCCTATATGTACACATGACCCGCATTCCACATGCATAGACACACACTATACACACATTCCACATTGTTGATGTAGTTAGGTGCCATCGAGTCAGTACCGACTCATAGTGACCCTGTACACAACAGGACAAAACACTGCTCAGTCCTGGGCACAATTGTTGCCACACTTGAACCCATTAAAGCGGCCACTTTGCCAATCCATCTCGCTAGGGGTTTTCCTCTTTTTCTCTGACCCTCCACCCTACCAAACATGATATCCTTCTCCAGCGACTGGTCCCTCCTGACAATATGTCCAAAGTATGAGCGACAAAGTTTGGCCATGCTGGCCTCAAAGGAGCACTCTGGCTGCACTTCTTACAACACAGATCTGTTGGTTCTTTTGGCACTCCGTGGTACTTTCAATATTCTCCTCCAACACCACAACTCAGATGCATCAATTCTTCTGCAGTCTTCCTTATTCACTGTCCAGCTTTCGCATGCATATGAGGTTATTGGAAATAACATGGCTTGGGTCAGGCGCACCTCAGTCCTCAAGCTGACATCTTTGGCCTTCAACCCTTTAAAAAGATCTTGTGCAGCACATTTGCCTAATACAATAAGTTGTTTGATTTCTTGACTGCAGTTTCCATGAATGTTGATAGTTGATCAAAAAAAAATGAAGTCTTTGATAACTTCAATATTTTTTCCATTGATAAGGATGTTATTTATTGGTTGAATGATGAGGATTTTTGTTTTCTTGACATTGAGATGCAATCCATACCAATGGCTGTGCTCTTTGATCTTCATCAGTAAGTATTTTAAGTCCTCTTCACTTTCAGCAAGCAAGGTTGTATCATCTGCATATCACAGGTTGTTAATAAGTCTTCCTCCAATCCTGATGCCACGTTTTTATTTATAGAACCCAGCTTCTCTGATTATTTGCTCGGCATACAGATTGAATAAGTATAGTGAAAGAATACAACCTTGTCGCACACCTTTCCTAATTTTAAACCATTCAGTGTTCCCATGTTCTGTTCGAACAACTGCCTCTTGTTCTGTGTACAGTTACTTCATGAGCACAATTAAGTGTTCCAGAATACTCATACTTCACAATGTTGTCCATAGCTTGTCATGAGCCACACAGTTGAAAGCCTTTGAGCAGTTAATAAAGCACAGGTAGACATCTTTCTGATATTCTCTGCTTTCAGCAAAGATCCATCGGACATCAGCAATGATATCTCTCGTTCCACGGCCTCTTCTGAATCGGGCTTAAACCTCTGGAAGTTCTCTGTCAGTGTATGCTTGCAGCCGTTTCTGTATTACCTTTAATAAAACTTTACTCGCATGGGATATCAAAGAGATTGTCCGATGATTTCCGCATTCCGTTGGGTCACCTTTCTTTGGACTGGGCACAAATACATATCTCTTCCAATCAGTTGGCCAGATAATTTTCTTTCAAATTTCTTGGCAGAGATGAGTGAGTGCCTCTTGTGCCGTCTCATTTTCTTGAAAGATTTCAATTTGTATTCCATCAATTCCTGGTGCCTTGTTGTTCGTCAATTCCTTCAATGCACCTTGGACTTCTTCCTTTAGGATCATTGGTTCTTGATCATATGCAACCTACCTCTTGAAACGATTGAACATTGACCATTTCCGTTTGGTACAGTAGCTCCATATATTCCTTCCATCTTCTTTTGATGCTTTCTGCATCATTCAAATAATTTGCCCAGAGAATCTTTCAATAACGAAAGTCAAGGCTTATATTTTTTCTTCAGTTCTCTCAGCTTGAGAAACGCTACCCTTTTGTTTTTCTAACTCCAGATCTTTGCACATTCATTATAATATTTGACTGTCTTCTTGAGGTGATCTTTGAAATTTTTGTTTCAGCTCTTGTACCTCCTCATTTCTTCCATTTGTTTAGCATCACTATGCTGGAGAGCAAGTTTCAGAGTCTCATCTGACATCCATTTTGATCTTTTCCTTCTTTGTTGTCTTCTTAAATACATTTTGCTTTCTTCCTGTATGATGTTCTTGATGTCTTTCCACAACTCCTCTGGTCTTTGGTCTTTAGTGTCTAATGTATCAAATCTGTTCTTCATATGATTTCTAATTTCAGGTGGGATATATTCAAGGTCATCTTTTGGCTCTTGTGGACTTGTTTTCATTTTCTTCAGCTTCAGTCTGAGTTTGCATATGAACAGTTGATGGTCTGTTCCACAGTCTGCCCCTGGCCTTGTTTTGGCTGATGATATGGAACTTCTCCATCGTCTCTTTCCGCAGATGTAGTCAATTTGATTTCTGTGTATTCCATCTGGTGAGGGCCATGTGTATAGTTGTCTCTTATGCTGTTTGAAAAAGTTATTTGAAATGAACAAATCATTGGTTTTGCAGGATTCTATCATGCATTCTCCAGCATCAGTTCTATCACCAAGGCCATATTTTCCAACCAATGATCCTTCCTCTTTGTTTCCAAACTTTGCATTCCATTCGCCAGTGATTATCAATATATCTTGATTGTATGTTTGATCAATTTCAGATAGAAGAGTTGTTAGAATTCTTCTGTTTCATCCTCACTGGCTTTAGTGGTTGGCGTGTAAATTTGAATAATAGTGGTATTAACTGGTCTTCCCTGTAGGCACATAGATATTATCCTATCACTGATAGTATTGTACCTCATGACTGATCTGGATATGTTCTTTTTGAAGATGAATGTAACACCATTCCTCTTCAGTTGGTCATTCCCTGCATAGTAAACCATGTGGTTGTCAGATTCAAAATGGCCAATACCAGTCCATTTCAGCTCACTAATGCCTAAGATATCGATGTTGATGCATTCCATTTCATTTTTGACAATTTCCAATTTCCCAGATTCATACTTCATACCTTCCATGTTCCAATTATTAAAGGATGTTTACAGCTGTTTCTCTTCATCCTGAGTTGTGCCCCATCAGCAAATGAAGGTCCCACAGGCTTTACTCCATTCGCGTCATCACGGTCAACTCTACTTTGAGGAGGCAGCTCTTCCCCAGTCGCATTTTGAGTGTCTTCCAACCTGAGGGGTTTATTTTCTGGCACTATATCTGACAGCGTTATTCATAAAGTTTTCAGTGACGAAATATTCGAAAGTCGTTTGTCTTTCCTTCTTCCTAGTCTGTCTTCATCTGGAAGCTCATCTGAAACCTGTCCACCATGGGTGCCCCTGCTGGTATTTAAAGTACCCATGGCATAGATTCCAGAATCACAGCAACTCACAAGCCACCACAGCACGACAAACTGACAGAGGAGTGGTGCACATTGCACAACACCGCCCCATACGTGCATACATGCACATTCATGCACCTCGCTTTACTAGTCAGTGTCTTTGAACTCTGGGGGGGTGTCCACCCGCTTTGTTTTTGCCACCCCTCTGGGGAGCTGTTGTTGAGCCCATCTGCTCCTCCATGTGGTTGATGACCCCCCTCCCCACTCCGAATAGGAGCACTTTGTTCCGTCGTCCTGGGTGGGGTAGATAGAGGCCCACTGGGCCTGCTGATCATGTTCTCCAAAGGGAGGGCCTTTGGGGAGCCTCAAGATAAAGGGGACTGAGCACAGGTGGAAAAGCAGGACTCAAAGTCCAGGTCCAGCTGATACTGACCATCCAGCTAGCAATTTTCCTACGGCCAAAGGAAGCAAGCCAACACCCACAGTCACCATCTCTTGAGAGAAGGATTGTGGGGGCTGAGTTTGATTCCTGATTTCAACTTTCCTGTTGTTTCCAGATTTTCTGGAAGGAGATTTGATAATTAGGAAACTTAGAGTTATTCATTTAGAAGGAAAAGCATGTCCCCATCTGATAATGGCTGGGCAAGCCCACTGCGTTTTGAATTCAGCGTGACTGATGTGTTGTGAGTGTGCCCTCTATGCCCACTGGTGCTAGCTTCGGGGCCTGGTCCTGTCCATGGTGGGGGCTCACAGCAGCCCACCATCTGTTTACTCACCCACTTAACTAAGGTACAGTCCAGGAGGGGACGGCTATGTATGGACTGTCATGTTCCGGGGTGGGCTGGGGGGCCAGACTCACCCCTCCCTGGGAGGAGTTTAGTTTTAAACTAGGAATCGGAATGCTGGGAGGGGAGGGGTGTGTGTGTGTGTGTGTGTGTGTGTGTGTGTGTGTGTGTGTGTGTGTAAAACTGTGCATGTGGCTTGGTCTTGCGGTCAGTGATTGGACATCTCGGCGTGTGTCTGTAGCTACGTGTCGGCCATGGTGCCCGTGAAGTCCCCGCGCGAGTACTACGTGCAGCAGGAGGTTACCGTCCTGTTCTGTGAGACCGTGGAGAGGTGAGGAGGGGGCATCTGGGCCCCGGGGCCCTGCTCCACCCTGCCCTGCTCCAAGCTATGGGGGGCGACGTGAGGGCACAGTGGGTGCAGAGGGGATGGCTCTCACTCCTCAGATCCTTGGACCCTTTTCTCTGGCGCCACAGAGACAGATCAGATGTCAGAGGATGAGAGCTGAGAAGGGACAGCCACCAGGGTGGACCTCCAGGGCCCCAGCAGAGGATGGCTCCTGCTTCCTCACCTCACCTGTATACCCCTCAACTCTTGTCTTCACCTCCATGCCTCACCTCCTCACCTGTCTCCCTCCCCACCTCCACGCCCCCTCACCTCCTCCATTAGACTTTACTTCCGAGTCCCTCTACCTCCCTGGACCGGTCACTACCCATTATGCTACCTCCTCATTCACCTTCTCAGGTACTCACTTCACTTCCATCCCCCTCACCCCCTCACTTCCTCAGCTCCAACCGCCTCCTCCGCACAGGTCAGGATACGGCTCCTGCTGGATTCCACGTCTGTGGAGCAGGGTTTGGGGGTGAATTACTAATATTCTCATTGTCTTGTACAACCATATACATTTTGATTTCTGAATGGACTTTGGTGCAGAATTTAACCTAGAATGGTTCTCTAAGTTGATCTGTATCATGGTTTTAGATGAGTTCAGAAATGGTCTGTTGGCACATCACAATTTGTTGTTTTTAAAAGATAGATTATTCCCTCTTTATGTTAGGAGGTCTTTCATATTGTCAGAAAATAAGATGACAGAAAACACCTTTAATTTGGATAAACTGTGGAACCCAGGTACAAGCAGCTGGAAGCATTTGTGTGCACAGGGAGCAAAGACACCCCTGCAAACAAGTGCGACCTCTCAGGGGTGGTAGATCACAAGGGTGGTATTTTCTTTCTATGTTTTTACTTGAACCCGCAGCAAAGCCCTTGTGACCTTCCTTATCCTGTTCAGGTGGATATCATGGCTTGCTGGCTTAGGGTCCTCACCAGTCCACTCCTGTAGCAAGCCCAGACTCTGCCCAGTCCCCACTTCTTCCCGCCCTTCCCAAGATCAGGCAGGTGGCAAGGTGGGGAAGGCTAAATGGAAGCTTCTAGAACCTCTGGAGCAGAGTGTGGTATAGCTCTCTGGCAGCAGCCCTTTGTACACGCTGCCCTGCCACCTTGCCCACCGAGTCTTGGCAGAGGCCGAGGCTAAGCGTTCTCCTCCACGGTCTTTTTCCTTGGCAGAGCCCTGGACTTTGGGTACCTCACCCAGGACATGATCGACGACTATGAGCCTGCCCTCATGTTCACCATTCCCAGGCTGGCCATCGTGTGGTGAGTATCGCCTGGGGATGCCTGGTCCTCTCTGAGTTCTGACATGTGGTGCTTGTGCCCTGAGTGGGTGGTCACTCAGTCACCCCGAGCAGTTGCCAGCAGGTTGTATAGGAGGCAGCAAGCTGGTGCTCTTACTTGCTTCTGGGAGCTTCCTAGAGCCTGGCCAGAGCCAGGTACTCCGAGGGTAAGGGAGCATGGGCAGGGTGGTTACGAAGTGGGGACGAGAAACTGGTGGGGTGTAGGGTGCTGCAGGGAAGGGCTGAGGGCCTCGTGGGGGGCAGGAAGGTGTGGAGCTAGGCAAGAGTGGGAGCCCGGAGTCCTCAGCTTCAGACACCAGTTGCAAGTGGCTCGGGAGGATGCGAGATGGATGCAGAGGCCAGGCAAGACCATGGATAAGACCTGGGGCAGGGTGTGGGAAATCTGGGAGGTGGGTTCCTGGACACCAGCACTGGACGCACTCCCTGCCTTGGAAGATTGGTGAGGATGATACAGCAGAACAAGGCTGGCTCAGCTGCTTGGGGCTGAGTGCTTTTCCTCATTGTGCGGGACCTGCAGCAATCCTCAGCTGAGTGCTGGGACAGGACGAGCACCACACAGCTCTGGGGAGTGCCTGTCCATCTCCCCTGCCCGGACTGCTTGTCCTACGAAGGACTGGAACAGACAGGTCTTGAGGTCATGGTTTTGAGATGTCCAGCTGGGGCAACCTGGGGGGCATACTGGCTCCAGCCCCCAGTGTCTCCTCTGATAGCACCCAGCCACCTGCCCGCATTCCTACCTGGGCTCTGCTAGCCTGTTCCCTTTGGCCAATTTTCTCTTTGATAGAAAGTTGTCTCCTTTCAAAAATCAGAAGTCAGAAGTGGAGCCGACTGTACCATACCAGCAAGGCAACCTTTTCAGAACGCCTTCAACAGTCCGAGTTGAGAATTCCCTTTCACGTGAAGACAGAGGAGTTGGGGGGCAGGGGTCCCAGGTGGGCAGTGCATCCTCAGGGTGGACACCCCACACCTCACCCACCCATGTTCCTCTGATGGCGTCTACACCACTTTGTTACATTGTTTCTTTCCAGACAGACTCCTCTCCAAGGCCATGCTAAATTGTGGGTCTCTTAGCTTCTCTTTTCTTGCTTAAGAAGGAAAAAAAAGTATGTATGTAATACATCATAATAATTACAATGATTTACAAATACAATAATAATGTGAAGAAGCTTCCTTCTGGCCCTTGCTCTCTTTGTCAGGGGTCCGTCAGTCGATCCTGTGGCTCAGGCTTCCTGCCCTTTGTCCCTTCAGCCCTGTGGATCCCAGGTCCAGAACTTCCTGGAGGAAATGGACAAGACCCTACCTGACCATATTTGTTTCTTTAATTTCCTACAGAAGTGTTTCCAAAGTGTTTTTTATCCCCTGAAGGAGCCCCTGGGAGTCCAAACCATTAAACACTTGGCTTCTAACTGAAAGACTGGGGGACTCCAGTTTGCCCAGAGGTGCCTAGGAAGAGATGCCTGGTAATCTACTTCTGAAACATCATAGCCATTAACAAAGCCTGGTGCACATGGAATGGCCAGGAGTCTGAGCCAACGCAACACTGTTCTTAAAAAAAAAAATACAGTATTCACAACACTTGTAAATAATATATTGGCATGTTCACTGAAGTCTTATTTGTAATACAAAAATGACTGCAAGCATACATTGACAGAGAACTTCCATAGGTTCAAGCTGGATTCAGAAGAGGCCGTAGAACAGTATCATTGCTGATGTGCGATGGATCTTGGCTGAAAGCAGAGAATACCAGAAAGATGTTTACCTGTGCTTAACTATGCAAAGGCTTTCAATTGTGTGGATCATGACAAATTATGGACAACATTGCAAAGTATGAGTATTCTGGAACACTTAATTGTGCTCATGAGGAATCTGTACCTGGACCAAGAGGCAGTTGTTCGAACAGAACATGGAAACACTGAATGTTTTAAAATTAAGATAGATGTACGACAGGGTTTTATTCTTTCACCATACTTATTCAACCTGTATGCTGAGCAAATAATCCGAGAAGCTGGGTTAGATGAGGAAACGTGGCATCAGGATTAGAGGAAGACTCATTAACAACCTGCGATATACAGATGATACAACCTTGCTTGCTGAAAGTGAAGATTTAAAATACTTATTGATGGAGATCAAAGAGTACAGCCTTCAGTATGGTTTGCATCTCAATGTAAAGAAAACAAAAATCCTCACCACTGGACCAATAAACCACATTCTTTTCAACAGAGAAAAGATTGACGTTGTCAAGGACTTCATTCTTCTTGGATCAACCATCAACACTCATGGAAGCAGCAGTCAAGAGATCAAACGATGTATTGCATTAGGCAAATCTGCTGCACAAGACCTTTTAAAAGTGTTGAAGAGCAAAGATGTCAGCTTGAGGACTAAGGTGCACCTGACGCAAGCCATGGTATTTTCAATAACCTCATATGCATGTGAAAGCTGGACAGTGAATAAGGAAGACCGTAGAAGAATTGATGCATTTGAGTTGTGGTGTTGGAGGAGAATCTTGAAAGTGCCATGGACTGCCCAAAGAACCAACAGATCTGTGTTGGAAGAAGTGCAGCCAGAGTGCTCCTTGGAGGCTAGGATGGCCAGACTTCGTCTCTCATACTTTGGACATATTGTCAGGAGGGACCAGTCACTGGAGAAGGAGATCATGTTTGGTAAGGTGAAGGGTCGGAGAAAAAGAGGAAGAGCCCAAGGAGATGGACTGGCAAAGTGGCAGCATCGATGGGCTCAAGCGTGGCAACAATAGTGAGGTTGGCCCAGCATCAGGCAGTGTTTCATTGTGCTGTGCATAAGGTCACTATGGGTCGGTACCGACTTGATGTCACTGAACAACAACCGTCCTGGTGTGACACTGTAGGGTAAGCACTGGACTGCTAACCACAAGGTTGGTGGCTCAAACCCCCCAGTCACTCCTTGAAAAACCCTGAGTCAGAACTGACTCAATGGCACTTGACAACAACCAGCTTTACAGACTTTCTCATCATGGTAAGTATGACTTTTATAAACAGAAGGCAGAACAGAAAGTGTCCGAGAGGAAGGACTGGCCCTATACCTTCTGATGGGGCAGTGCCCGCCCCCTGCCCCCTGAGTAGAATGTGGGTCAGGCCCCTCTCTGTGTTCTCCACATTCCCCATCCCATGCTGAGGCTCCCGGGACTGGCTACCTGCTGCCAGCTCAGCTAAGTGGTGGTGTCTGCCCGCTTCCAGGCGGCAGAGTGGACACGGCCCTGTGGCTAGGAGTACAGGGCACTGTGGTCCCCGGCCCCATGGGCAACTAACTGATCACCAGGGCCTCTTTCTCCCACCAGCTCCCTCACAACACGGCCTCCTGGACTCCAGCCATGGTGTGGGCTGGGCTACTGTGAGGGGCCGCCCCTGTACCCCCCACCCCTAGACATTGCTGAGTACCTACTGTGTGCCAAGCCTGGAGTCTGAAGGCCAGCGTTGTGCTTGGTCACCAGCCCATGGGGACATAGACTGCTGGACTGTCCCCACACCCTTTCTGTGTTCCCTCTTGCACTGTCAGGGAGACTTCCTGGGCCTGCTGATGTCACCACAGTGGGAATGGGAGGGCAGTGCCCCAACACTCCAGTCCCCTGACTACGTATGCAGAGGAGTGCGCTGGGCAGCCGTCTTCTTGGAGACCCCAGCTGCTCTAGGGCTAACAACAGGTCTGTGCACAGGCTGGGTGGCAGCTTGACCCCTGGCCAGGCTCAGCGGGCACGGTCACCCCAGGCCTTTTCTCTACACTGACCAAGCACCTGGCTCTGAGGCATGTCTGCTAGTGTAGCCCTAAAAGCCAGTTGTCATTGAGTTGATTCTTCCCCATGATAACCCTGTGTGTGACAGAGCTGCCCCTTTCTTCCCCATGATGACCCTGCGTGTGACAGAGCTGCCCCTTTCTTCCCCATGGTGACCCGTGTGTGACAGAGCTGCACCCCCACTTTCTTGATCTTTACAGGCAGACTGCCCAGCCTTTCTTTCTTGACACCGTTGGGTGAGTTTGAACCATCAACCTTTAGATGAGCCGTCCAGCATAAACCATTTGCGTTACCCAGGGATCAATGAAGCCACCTTACCCACTGCTGATTGTGACGCATAGCTACTCTGTGCAGGGTTTTTGAGGTTATCCATCTTTATGGGAACAGAAAGCCTCATCTTTCTCCCAAGAAGTGGCTCGTGGGTTTGAACTTCTGACCTTGGCATTAGCAGTCCAGTGTTGTGTTTTCCTAGAGCACCACCAGGGCCCCTTCATGCTGCTGTTGCTACATGCTCTGAAATTAGTTCCGTCTCATAGCGACCCTGCATGGGGTTTCCGAGGCCATAAATCTTTATGTGAGTAGAAAGTCTCATCTTTCTCTCCAAGGGGTGTCTGGTGGATTTGAACGGCTGGTCTGCGGTTACCACTATGCTACCAGGGTTCCTAGGGCCCCTTCATAAGCCCACCTTATTGTTGTTAAGTGTTTTCCAGTTGGTTCTGACCCATAGAGACCCTGTGTAGGGTTTCCGAGGAGCAGCTGGTGAGCCGACTTTGCAGTCCAGCACATTAACCCACAGTGCCACACCAGGACTCCAAGCCCACCTTATTTACCATGAAATGAAAGATCTTCCTGAACTTGCAGTTAGCGCTGTCAGCTCTTGTAAGACCCATAAGGTGGACCAAGAAGACGGAAGGTGAAATGGCTGTGGGCCATGCTCTTGCCTTCTGCTCTTTGTGGGTTAGGGGACACTTGAAACCCTAACCCTTACCTACTGGCACCTCTGCAGGTCAGGTGACCCTAAGGTTATGGCCTGGTGCATCCCCTAAGGCAGGACACAGCCCATCCATGTTCTTCCTGTGACTTTTCAATCTTTTCTGCACAGGTGGTTGTGAGTTACCATTGAGTTGGTTCTGACTCACAGGTTCCTTAAGCTCTCAGCTATTAACTGAAAGATTGGTGGTTCAAATCCACCAAGAGGTGCCTCAGAAGAGAAACCTACAAATTTGCATCTCAAAAGTCAAAGCCTTGAAAACCGCCCCGGAGCAGTTCTATTCAGCACCTATGGGGCTTCGTGAGTGAATGGACAGGGTAGTAACAGATAGTGAAGGTTTGGATCAGCTTGGCTGGGCCTGCGCTCTCATTGGTTTAGCAGTTACGAAGTAGTCTTCCCCTATGAAATCCTGTATAGAGTCACTGTGAGTTGGAACTGATTCACTGGCACATAACAGCAAAAAGATCTACTGTAATGTCACCTGCTCCATGGTGTGATATAATATGATCAGCCCTGATCTGGTATGATTATCCTGTCTGTTGTAAATCCTTCTTAGATGTTAATGTGGCCAGATGTAATCTTGCGAGCAGATTGTATCTTGAGTCAATCTCTTTTGAGAGATAAAAAGATCAACCAAGCCAGCAGAGCTCAGGAGGATTTAGTGCCACCAAAAGAGACAAGGTGGCAGTCAGTGGAGGGTGTCCTTTGGAGCCAAGGTCCCCCTGCACTGTGAAGCACCTGGATCCAGGGAAGACTGATGCCAAAATATACAGGGATCTCCAGGGAATGCTGGGCCCATAGATGCTGACAGGGGACCAGGACCTTCCCCCCGAGCCAACAGAGAGAGAACGCCTTCTCCTAGAGCCGGCACTACGAATTTGGATGTCTAGTCTCCTAAAATGTCTTCCTAGTCTGGAAGCTCTTTTGCAAGGTGTCCACCATGGGTACCCTGTTCGTATTTTGAAATGCTGGTGGCAGAGATCCCAGTATCATAGCAGTATCAAATATATAACTCAAATGGATGCATTTGAGTCATGGTGTTGGAGGAGATTATTGAACGTGCCATGGACTGCCAAAAGAACCAACGGATCTGTGTTGGAAGAAGCACAACCAGAGTGCTCCTTGGAGGCCAGGATGGCCAAACTTCGACTCTCATACTTCAAACATACTGTCAGGAGGGACCAGTCGCTGGAGAAGGAGATCATGTTTGGTAAGGTGGAGGGTCAGAGAAAAAGAGGAAGGCCTCCAGCGAGATGGATTGGCAAAGTGCCAACAGCAATAGGTTCAAACATAGCAACAATTGTGAAGTTGGTGCAGGACTGGGGAGTGTTTTGTTCTGTTATGCATAGGGCAGATATGAGTCAGTACTGACTCAATGGCACCTAATAACAACAAAATTGTGAGAGGATAAATTTGTTAACAACACTTCCTTTCGGCATTTCTGTTAGAACAGCACTAGAGAACTGAGACATCCAGTAGCAGTAACAGCCAACTCAGGGAGCTGTTGTGATCCAGACAGTTTTCACTGGCACACTTGAGATGTAGACCGCCAGGCCTTTCTTCCTAGTCTTACTTAGTCTGGAAGCTCTGCTGAAAGGTGTCCACCTGCTGGTATTTGAAATGTTGGTGTCATAGCTTCCGGGATCATAGCAACGGGTTAGCTGCCACAACACAATCAGCACTTTCTGTTTATTCAGTGGTGCTTTTTCACGGCATTGGATCAGAATGTTAGAAACAAGAAGACACTTTCTGAACTAATGGGGGCTCTGTTGGAGGGCAACGACTGACCCCAAAGACTGATGGCAAGACCTTGTTGATTCCTACAGAGAGAGCCGTTCGGGTGGGTGGGACTTGAGAAACGGGTTCATGGGAGGCTGCTTTGGGAGGTGCTGAGAAAGGCGCTGTGTCCACAGATGGACGTTCTGGGCACCTGAGTGTCCTGAGAATGGAGTGTCTGGGCCCTGCAAGCCCTGGGGCGAGGCCCCATGGAGGGTACCAGGGACGGGACTGTATTGAGAGACGGTCTAGAGGTGGGTGACCTAGCAGCTTGGTTAGAGCTGAGCAGGGTTCACTTGGTGCGTGGTGGGAGTCCCAAGGGGACAAACTTGGTGCTGCCCAGGGACTGGGAAAGCTGTCCCGGACAGAGGGGCAGCTGCGTAGGTTGGCCTGGACGCTGGGGTAGGGGCACTGAGGAAAGCAGCATGCCCCAGAAGGGGGTGGGGAAGCGAGGGTCCCATGGGTCCCATTCAGGAGTGGAGGGTGGTCTGGTTTGGTGTGTGAGGTTCAGACAGCTAGGGGCTAAGGCGTTCCAGGAGGGCTGGGGCAGCCAGATAAAAGCAGTGAGAGGCCAAAAGCACACAGCTTTCTCAGGGGACCCCCAGGGACTATGAGGACAGCCTGTGGGCATGTGGTACAAATACCCCCAGATGCCCTGCTGAACCCTGCAGGACCGTGCCTCACAGTGTGGGAAGCAAATAGCCCTGGGTTCAAGGTAGCCCTAACTGTGGCCGAAGGATCCCTGGTGGTGCAGTGGTTAAGCATTCAGCTGCTAACCAAAAAACTGGTGGTTTGAACCCACCGTTCACCTTTCAGAAAAAGACGTGGCTATTTGTTCCCATAAAGATTACAGTCTTAGAAACCCTATGGGGCTATTCTACTCTGTCTTGTAGGCTCATTGTAGATTGGCATCACCTTAACAGCAGGGGGTCTGCATTAAGTTTGGTTACAGCCAGGTGAATGACCAGAGGCCTGGGGTGGCCAGTGCGGGTGGGTAGCTCAGCTACCCTTCAGAGTAACTGATTGTACCTGGCTACCCATCCTCCAGGCCTCACCACTAACTGACATCCACGGCCCCCACAGGCACTCGCTATGAGTTGAAACCAACTCAACAGAACTTTTAACAACAGGTTTGGGTCAAATATCTTATATCAGTTGACTGGATCGTAACAGTGACAATTTATTTTTATTGTATCAATTTCTTTTTAGGATGCTTTGATGGTTCCTCAAATCAGCCAAGCAAATCGCTTCCCCAAACTGGTCAAGCCAGACAAGTTTATGTCACTGTTTGCTTTGAGGACCCTATGGGGAGTCAGCCCCACGAGGGCAGAAGAGGGGGATCCCTGAGTGTATCTTCTGCTAGCCACTTGAACCCAGAGGTCCTGAGCTCTTGCCTGGGACCTAAACCCACCTCACTTTTGTGTCTTGACCACAGTGGCCTCGTGGTGTACGCCGATGGACCACTGAACCTGGACCGCAAGGCGGAGGACATGTCTGAGCTGTTCAGGCCCTTCCACACGTTACTGCGGAAAATAAGGTGGGGGTGGGAAGAGGGAGGAGGGAAGGGGTTCATTGAAGTGGGGGGTTTCTTCCTTCCTGGATACTTCAGATAAAGATATGCAGGTGTTGACAGCCTTAAGCCATAAGCCACCCCCCAGCTTTGGTGTGCCTTTGCTGGACGATCCCATCACCATTCCTAGCTCTTTTGTGCTTACTAGTTTCTAACAGTGTGTGCTAGACCTTACACCCAAGCCTTCCTATAAATGGGTGCACACGCATAAAAATACACGCTACAAGTTTTTATCCAGGTGCTCAGTATACGCTCTAAACAGCAGCAAGTCCAAAGCTTACTTCTGTTTAAAAATCCAGCTAGCTCCCAGTCCATTGGGACTCAAGGCCACCCCGTGTGTGTGGAGTAGAAGGGTGCCCCGGAGGGTATTGAGGATTGTGACTTTTCAGAAGCTGGTCACTAAGCCTTTCTCCCACTGAGAAGCTGTTGGGTCTGAACTTCTTACCTAGCTGTTAGCATTGCTGTTCTTATCAAATAGTTCCAACTCACAGTGACCCTGTGCACAACTAAACAAAACTCAGCCTGCCTTTGCATCATCCTCACAATTTTTATGCTCAAGCCCATTGCCATTGCCACTGTTGAGGGTCTTCATCTTTTTTTGGTGCCCCTCTACTTTACCAAGCACGGTGTTCTCCTCTAGGGACCGGTCACTCCTGGTAACATGTCTGAAGTGTGAGAGACAAAGTCTTACCATCCTAGCTTCTAATGAATTTTCTGACTGTACTTCCTTTAAGACAGGTTGGTTTGTTCTTCTGACGGTCCATGATACATTACAATATTCTCCTCCAACACCATAACTCAAATGCATCAATCCTTCTACGATCTTCCTCATTCACTGTCCAGCTTTTGCATACATATGAGGCTATTGAAAATACCATGGCTTGGGTCAGGTGCACCTTAGTCCTCAAGCTGACATCTCTGCTCTTGGACACTTTAAAGAGGTCTTGTGCAGCAGATTTGCCTAATGTAATACGTCGTTTGATATCTTAACTGCTGCTTCATGGTGATTGTGAATCCAAGTAAAATGAAATTTAACAACTTCAGTCTTTTCTCCGTTTTTCAAGATGTCATTGGTCCAGTTGAGAGGATGTTCAGTCTCTCTCTCTTTTTTTTTCCATAGCTAAATGCTTAACCATTTACTCTATTCAGTGATCCATTATTTCTAGTGGTTTCCAAACTGTGGCCTTTTGTCTTTTCTAAATTTTGAGTCAGAATCAAAATTTAAACTCAACAGCACCTGATAATAACAGTGTATGTATTTTATTGCAATTTAAAAATATATACCACTCCCCTTTAAAAAGACATTATAATCATGTGTGAACCATAGACTGTTTCCAACTATTCCAACTATAATGAATTTTGAATGATTAAGAGGGGCCATGAAGATGTTTCATCATCAAAGCCCAAGCCCAGTGAGAGTGGAATAGGTGAATGGCAGTATGTTTACACATGGAAAAGGAACCCTGGTGGCACTGTGGGTTAGGCGCTGGGCTGCTACCTACAAGGTGAGCACTTGAACTGTACCAGCCGCTCTGTGGGAGAACGATGAGGTTATCTGCCCCTGTAAAGGTTTATAGTCTCAGAAATCATCTCTAGGGTGGCTAAGAGTCAGAATCTACGTGGTGGTGTGGGGTTTTCACTTTGAAAGGCTGGCAGCCATAGGGATGGAGGATCTACAACAGCACACCGGGTTCTATAGGGATTTCTCACTCACACGAGTTGCCAGGCTCATCACAACTGTGTGACAGATCAAACAACTAGGATGTACGGTTCAAGCTAAATTTCAGACAAACCAACAAATGCATCTTCAGTGTCAGTTAGTCCCATTTAGAACATGTTGTTTCAGGTGGTATCTAGTTGATTTCCAAATCATAGAGACTTCAGTATGACCATGTAGAACTGTCTCATAGAATTTTCTGGGCTGTCATCTTTATGGGAGCAGATGGCCAAATCTTTTCTCCTGAATAATGGCTGGTGAGTTTGAACCGGCAACCTTTTGGTTGGCAGCCAGTGCTTATTAAGTGTTATGCCGTCAGGACTCCGTATTTGGGACATAGTTAAAAAACAAAACAAAAGAAAAAGAGATGCTAACTCTTCACAGTTTAGCTCAAATTTAGATTTAACCAGGCATCCTGGTAGCCCTACCCAAACCCTAAAACCAAAGCCCATGCTGTCACGTTAACTCCAACTCCTAGCTGCCCTGCATAGGGTTTCTGAGATTGTCGATCTCTATGGGAGCAGGAAGCCTTATCTTTCTCCCTTAGAGAACTGCCAACTTTGTGGTTACTAGTCCAGTGCTTACCCTACAGCACCACCAGGGGAGATCTACACACATACAGTATCGGCCAGTGAAGCACAAGCATACCGACTGCTTAACCCCATTTATCTCAGGAGCTCCGTCTTGGATAGAGGGTGTGATGTCAGGATGCTGGAAACGGAGGGGACACTCGGAGGGCACGCCAGGACATCAGGGTGCCGGTCAGAGTTGTCAAGCAAACAAGATGGAAGAGCCCACGCTAACCCATGCATCATTATTGTTCACGCCTTGAAGCTATTATTATTATTTTAATGTTTTATTATGAATTATATGATAGTTTACATGAGAGAACTCTAGTTTTATATTCATTCCATCGCACATCATTGCATTGCCATGGTTCCAGTCCCCTCCATGCATCATCTCCCTAC